CTCCCCTTGTCCCGAGGGCCATCTCCCAGCAATGTCCCGTGTCCCGTGGCCATCCAGGGCTGCCCACCCGCGGTGCTCAGCCCCACAGTCCCTTCCTGGCYCCCTTTGTGTCACAGGAGCTTTGCCATGATGACACACACAGGTATTGTCAGCTGACTGCTGTCATTTACTGCTTTCCCCCAGTTAATGAGAGGAATATTACTTATTAGAAGAGAGCAAATGAAAATCAAATAATAAAGGAAAAATAMAAAGAGAGAGAACTTGATGAGTCTTTCAATACATTGGATGCATCCAACAGAAACTGAGAAAAAAACAGCCTGTCACTAGATAAACTCTTTCTAAAAATAAAAGAAGCAACACATTAACCAAAAAGCATGTTTTAGTTTCATTCCATCTTTTCATCTCCAACAACGAAGCCCCTCCCAGCACAGCAGTGCTTGGTTTGGAGACTGCTGCATTATTTATGAGATGCTGCCCATCCAGAGATTAAACATTTGCTGATTTGTCAAAAGCACAAACAGGAGATCCTGCCCATCTCCTTGAGATATTAGTCCATGGAACAGAAAATGCTGTCACATGTTTAACTGATGAGTACACATCCCTGCGACCCAGGCAGATGCCTTCAGGCCTGTGGGTTTCTTTTTTATAACTTGGAGGAGGTGAACAAGGAATCACAGGAGACACTCTTGTGAAGGACTCAAGGTTAATTGTGCTGCAACCAGGACACAGTGCCAGGAAAAAATAAATCCTGATACAAGACAAAACCACTGCCACCTGATATTCCCAGCTGGCCCATTTCTTTCTTCAAYGCATAGGGCAAAATCTGACATAAATAAAGCAATATTTTGCTAYACAATAATACTCTTTAAGAACTCAGTATAAGGATACTGCTTTTTTTCTCACTTGGTCTTCAGAAGAAAAAAAGGGAACCTTGGCAAGCATCGGGAAAGTACCATCCCAAAAGCCTCAAGTCTGAAAAATTTTAAAGGAAACTAAAAAGGGATCCTGAAATGGGAAATCATAGGCTATGTCAGTAACACATGGTAATCCAGCCAACCTATAATATTTAAGTGAGGTTTGTTTTTTTCCCCACAATGCAGGACAGCAGAATCATGCTGTGAAGGGACCTTTGAGGTCTCCAAGTCCTGTCCAATGCGGGGCTGTCAGTGGGATTGCTCAGGGCATTGCCCAGGACTCAGAACTCTCCTGAGGTGGAGCCTTCCCCTCTTCTGAGCTACTGCTCCGTGTCTGACCACTGTCTTGGGGAAACCTTTCCCTTTATTCTCACTGGAATTCCCCACGCAACAGCTGAGATGAAAATCTACAACTAAGTAAAAAGTATTTGGAAACAGTGACCTATCAAATTAGGTACAAATAATGTTAAAAACAGGTGACAATTTAAGTCTAGGTGGCAGAATTATGAACTCTGAAGCTTCTCTATGTAACATATCAGCAAGTAAACCAAGAAGAAACCAAAGGCTCTGAACCCCATTTTACTTGAGTGTCATAACTCTWCTAAAAACAGTACTGCCACTCACGCCCAAGCTACAACTTTATTTCTGAATGTCACAATTTGTTCATTACTTGACTTCATATAGTTTTAACCTCAAATTTAAAAGCCAGTTTTTAAGACTTATGCAGCAAAATTTCAGTTTGATAGTCTACAYTTGTGGCACTGAGTGTCAACGACTTGTGCACAATGAATCTGTGACAGTGATGAAGTAACTCTGTCAAGTTCCAGGAACTGATACCACTGAATTCAGACAGCCTTGGACTGTGCAATTCCAAACACCCCACTGAAAAGAATAAAAACTATAATGGARTGGAAATTACAGCTATCGCTATCTTCCACATTGATATAGACTCAATCAGGCTTAGGTACATAAATGTAAACTTCTAAAAATGATGGAGTGCACTTATAATTCCCCGCCCTAATACAACAAAATAAATAAAAAAAATCTTACAGGGCCTACTGCCTAGGCCCTTTTGTTGAGGCRATTATGTTGATTCAATTTATTTCTCATAAAATGCCAGTTTAACAATAAAGTTAAATGAGATTAATTTAAAGTCTAAGAGCTTTACTTTATTCTCTTATTTACAATTTCAATATCCTTTGGAAAAAGCAGTACTGGCACATACAGCAGTAACAGCAGTATATACAGTATCTAAGTGATATAGCACAGGAACCCATTACAGATTATAAATCACMCAAACAGCTTAACTTTTAAACATCTCAAATGTAAAGAAAGAAAGCTATTATTTGTTCCACTTTAAAGGCTGCTGAAATGGATGACTTCTGCTGTTAGCACAAATTCCCTGCCACCTCTAAGTGGCTGCTTCTACTCAAATGGAACCTCAGCGGTCATGTYGTGCACTGTCCCTCCCTTCCTCAGTTACACTGACATCAGTGGCTGCACCACAGCCAAACAGCAGATCTGGGAATATTGCAGCCCTCTTCACRACAGCCTTTCTAGAGGAAACAAATGACCCTGAGGGCCACTGTGTGGTGAAACACATTGGGGATAACGCATCCTGGCAGCGCTGCAATCACCCCGAACGGGTCAGGCTGCAGGCTTCCATCTCCAGCAGCCAGAGTACCCCAATTTCTGAGGTGAGGACTCAGACCCAGCACCTGTCAGCAGCTGCTCTGAACCCCTACAGAGCCCAAGGAACCTACTGCACCTGCTGCTCCGAGGAATGAAGAGGGGAAGGGGATCCACAGGCTGTGCTGCACCAGACATCTCACCAGAATGAAGGGCAGCAGCAGCCACASGCTTCTCTGCTTGATTTTCCAAGGTGTTTGCAAATACGCTCTAGTCTGAATTCTATTTCAGYAGCCTCATGGCAGTGATGAATGGATAACTCACAGTTAAGCACACATCAGAAACTTCTCAACTTGTCAGGCTAACGTGCCAGCCCCTGGATCTGTAACTCTGTCAAGATCATTGTATTCAGYACCACCAGAATTCTCTACACCAGCCCAACCTGCTGGCCTCAGGGATACAGAGACAGCACACATAATTCCCAGGACTGATCAGCCAGGTGAATTGGGAAGAAATTCTTCCTTGTGAAGGTGGTGAGGCCCCAGCACAGGTGCCCAGAGAAGCTGTGGCTGCCCCATCCCTGGAATTGTCCAAGGCCAGGCTGGACATTGGGGCTGGGAGCAGCCTGGGACAGTGGGAGGTGTCCCTGCCATGGCAGAGATGGCACTGGATGAGCTTTGAGGTCCCTTCCCACCCAAACCATTCCATGATTCTATGAATCCATCATTTATACCACACTAATAAAGTCAGGAGCTGACAAGACCTATAGGATTTCATCAGAGTCTGAAGTGCTCAGTTTTGCCCAGAAGTACAAAGACAATTCAGAGCACAGCTGTGGCCATGAGGAAAAACTATCACTGYCACACAATCACTGCCAGTAACTCAGGATCAAAACAGAGCATCAGSTGGCACAGACATGAACAATTCTTATTTGTAGCTTGATCAAGTTCTTAAGAAACACACAAGATGGTAAAACTGATTGTTTTGCTGTTCCCCCTACTTACTTAAGTAACAGCTTGGCTTTAATACCCCTAAAATCAAACAGTCAGACCGTACACACAATCCTGTAGGTAGAGCAGGGAATATTTCCTTTGTGAACTCCCAGGACCTCTGTTGATAGCACAGTCACTAACTGCAGAGTGCRCAGGCAAACACGTCCTGGCTTTTGTGAGAATGGCCCTTACGGAAACGCTCAGGAGCTCAGGGAAAGGCCAGGCATTTTATCTCAGGCAATGCTGTTATTAACAAAACGCTTTTTCCGGACTGACAGAAGTACCCGACTGTTCCTACGACGTCTGCATGCAGACCTGTACTGCAGCTGCGGGCACTGAGAGCAACGTTTAACCTAAGCTGAGCACATTCATTARAAAAGCTTCAC